AAAAAAAAAAAAAAAAACAAAATTGTCAGAGAGCCGCGGGGAATTCTTGGAACGACGCTAGTGCGCTACGGGAGCTCCATGAGTCAGTGAGGCACATTATAGCCCCAGAGCTTGCAGCCAGGATTTACTAAAAGAAACCAAAGCCCAAACTGGTCCGATGTAGAAACAAGATTCCTTTTAAAATTGTTTTTCTGCAGGAATATAACGTGATAAGTCTCCTTACGTTTTTTCCGTAGCCGCTTTGTCGCTTGCGGTCGTTTTAACGGCTATTTTGGTGACTTTCTTTGTAACGCATGTGATGCTACCAGTCGTACCAGTCAACTGTAAATAGAACATTTTTTTATACAAAGTTTTATTATCCTTTTCAATTTTTCTATTTAATTTTTTTTATAACATTTCCTTCTTTAACGGCCGCGCTTACACTTAAAATTCGATCTTAACATGTTAGGTATTCCCGTTCATAACCTTAGACCTCAAAATCACACACAGTGCGCTAGGGGCCGCCGGTGAATAAACTGGAAATCTATAAAATGCTTCAGTAAGGATTACTCTCGCGAAAAAAGACTCCAAAGAAGATATTTGGGAAAGGCATGCCCGTTAAAGAATCCATCGCTGAACGACTTTTGGCCTGTATGTACTTTTAATGCGTCTTCAGACAGAGATAGCCATCGACCCAGTTGCTGTTCCTAGTGTAACAGGCAGGACGAAGTTCATAATGGACACTCGGGCTTCTTCCTGACTTTAATGTATTGGCCCAAGGTCCAGAAAACAAAACAAGATTTAGACAAAGATGTTTTTCGTCCAGTCACGAGGGTAATATGAAATATCAAATATCAACATGTAATGGACCTTGCTCAACACAGAGTTTGTGTGGCTCAGTGGTAGACATCGGAATGCGAAATTCGAAGTTCGATTGCTCATGGGGGCACACAAATTTTTTTTCTCTTTACGCCACGCTCGTGACGAAAACAAACTTACCATCTTTCTTATTCTATTTACAAAACTTGCTTTATTCAGAGTTACTGCCAAACCTCCTCTAAGCGGACGCATTCAAATTACTGCGCAGCACATCTAAACCAGAACATCGAGAAATGAAAAGAAAGTATCTGTTGACATCTTTCTCGTTTACTTTTTTTTTCTTCATGCGCGAGTCATATATGTCAGATGACTCTCAGGTTTCATCCTGACTGCGATGTATTGGCCAAAGGTCCAGAAAACAAAACAAGATTTAGAAAATTTTCGTCCTTAGTCACGAGGGTAAACTGAAACTTCAACTATGAACTTCGTGATGGCCTTGCTCACCATGGAGTCTCCGTGGCTTAATGGTAGAGCATCGGAGCACGGGATCCGAAGGTCTGCGGTTCGATTCCTCATGGGGACTCAGAATTTGTTCGTTTTCCCACGCACGTGAAAAGATGAAAAACATCTTTCTCTATTTCTTTACTGAGCTCAAAACTTACCATCTTCCTATTCTATTCACAAGACAAAATTTGTTTCATAAGACCAAGATGGCGGTTTAATTCGATTAATCTGCTGACAAACCTCAACCTCGTGTACAAACCCGAATTTGGAAAACTGGTCGCGTGACATTAGGGATACGGAACTATTTAACACTGTCCTCCTTTTTCCATCCACCACAAGTTCTATAGACGCAGTTGAATAAGAATTGGATGGTAAAACTCTCCTCTGAAGATTTGAATAAAATGGAATCTTCACCCGGAGAGCGGTCAATTCACCGCCAAAGCCCTGAAATAGATATTGCCAGAAATGTTTACGATGAAAACTTTTTCACTGCAACAAAACGCGATCGCTTTCCATTGAGTACCAAGGACGACTCAGCAAAGAAGAACTATTACTGGCGCGTTGTTCATCCAAAGCTCTTTCCCTGTTCGTGTTCGTGGAAGGGTTTGATCTCTTTTCTAGCTGGGCTCATGCCGATTATTCGCTGGTTACCGAAATACAACGTGAAAGAAGATTTGTTTCCTGATTTAAATGGAGGAGTTACAGTAGCAGTTATGCATGTCCCTCAAGGTATGGGAATATTTTATACGGATTGTCTGACTCCTTGTCTTTGCATCGTCCGACCGATGAGCCAACGCGTTCTAATATATAGTTTAAGGACAGCTGTAAATGATTTCTACGTGATGCGTTCTGGGGCCAAACACTGACAAAACTGGTTTGAACCCAGCAGTAGCGAGGAATTACCGGCTAACACACACATAACTGCGCTAAGCTGAATAACTTGGCTTTAGTTGTTCATTTGGGTAGGCTCGTAAGAATATTTGACCATCATCGCATACGATTCCTTAACTGTTTTTTTTTTTTTTAGAGGTATGGGGTGTAGGATTGTTACGGCGGTAAATTACGTAACCGTTAAAATAACAATAACACTCGATGAAACCTCTGTGAGGTTTTGAGTCTCACTGCTGGAGTCGGTGCCTATTGTTTAGAAGTTATTAAGATTTGAAAGCATTTGTATTCAGTTGTATTATTTTCCGTCTTTTATTTACGGGGACCAGCACCTGCAGGAAAGAGCGGACCTAGAGCGTTGCATCAACGGAAGAACTTTGTCGCGAATTACCGGCCGGAAGAGGTTCGTGCGCTTCAAGAGGAATACGAGTGATGTGGATCACTGGGGGGCCAGTAACGCAAATTTTTTCTGTCACATGTCTTTTTCTAATGACATATTTTCTCTGTTAGGACTCGCATTCGCCATGCTGGCTTCCCTTCCGCCGGTCACGGGACTCTACACCGCCATTATCCCAGTATTGGTTTATATGATCATGGGCACATCGCGGCACTTGTCTGTAGGTACGATGAAAATATTTTTTCTTTTCATTCCTTTTTTTTTCTTTTGATTTATTTTTTTTCTTTTATATTCCTGTAGCTTGAAGGAATGATGTTATCATTCAATGCTTATTTCATGCATTAAATGATCGACCAACGGTATCTAATGACTTGTCTGATGACTTGTCTCACCAACGGTGAGACAAGTCATCAGTTTACTGAATGGTTGTTGTTTTCACGTGACAGGTAGTTTCGCAGTCATATGTTTGATGGTGGCACAAGTTGTTGAGCGTGAAGTGGGTTCCATGCCATTAGCGCCTACTCCTACACCGGGCAATGACTCGATGTCCAGTCCTTCCCCGACAGAAGGCACCGCGTTATGGACACCGGAAATGTCGGCCAAAATGGAAGTCGCCCTTTCGCTCTCCTTACTCGTTGGTATCATCCAGGTAAAATGATAAACCATTTTCTTGCTATCAAATGTTAATGAAAGTTTGTTTACGAGCCAAGTGGCCAATCAGGCGAGTGCTTAACTCCGGTTTCCATAGGATGAAGCGACTCGGAGTATTTCTACTCTCCCTCCCCCACACCCCCATTGGATGAAGAGAGGCAGTGTGAGAGTAAAGTGTCTTGTCCAAGAACACAACACAATGTCCCCGGCCGCGGCCGGAACTCCATCCAGGACCACGTGATCCGGAGTCGAGCGCACTAAACATGAGGCCACTGCGCCTCGCCTCAAAACATGAATAGTAGTTAACAAAAGAATGTTTTTCACGATAGATTATCATGGGAGCAGTGAAGATGGGATTTCTGGCGACGTTCTTGTCAGAACCATTGATCAGTGGTTTCACCACAGGGTCAGCGGTGCTCGTTGTCAACAGCCAATTGAAGCATATACTGGGAGTGAAAGTTCCCCAGATCAGCGGAGCGTTTGCCGCAGTAAAGGTAACTATGCAATGAACCCACTGATCTTTCGAACTATCTGCCAAATTCATGGTAAAGAAATCTTGAAGTTTGAAAAAAAATTACTAGCGCGCTTGATCCGTATCGAATTTCGGACCAAATGGTTGGAATGTGTACCTTATATTTTACCAAGAGTGCTGTAAATTCATATCCCTCAGGGTTGCTTAAAAGCTCGAATCTCCTTTAGGCCTGAGTTTCTTTATATCGTTTCTCCTCACTATTAAATTATTAGATTTCGCGTATATATTTTCTTCCATCTCGTGCTCTCCTAAATTTGAGTATACGATTTCCTTCAAGATGAATTTTACAACCTTGACACACAGATGCCCAACCAATTGAGACGTCGTGTTAGATCTAACTTCCTCAATGATTCAAACTAATGATAATGACAACTGCTTTCAGATCTTTATTCATATGCTGAAAAACATTCCCTCAGCGAACGTTGGAGCCATTATCACGGGCGTGCTCTGTCTTATTGTGTTAATTGGATTGAAACAAGTGAACGAGAGATACAAGCAGAAAATGAAAGTTCCCATCCCTGCTGAACTTCTTGTGGTAAGAACATTTATTTGATCCGGTTACTTTGTTAGATAGAAGCCGTGCCTGTGAAACAATGTCATGGCCATTTTCCATCCTTTTTATGAAGATTTCCTCACGAGAGGCTCGAAACAACGTAGCTAGTTTTACTCAGAACGAGAAAACTGGGACCTAGAAGGTATTTTCCTCTCTCTTTTTTCGAAATTTAATCATTTCTGCCATTCTTTACTTATTAATTTGGCAACCAAACAGTTAAAACAATCAGAGAAACCCTAGAAGTTCTGTTTTTTTCTTGTTCGGTTTTACCTTTGATCGAAGGCTTGACTAACAGGAAAGTACTTCTGGAACAAGGGTGCTCAAGAGTAACGAGTTAGTGAATTTCATAAATTTTGCGGATATTTCACGAAATACGATTGTTCGTGAAGACTCTCGTAGTTTTAGGAAACGACTTGAATAAAGAGACTCGCAGGGGTGTGGAAGGGGGAGTATTATAATAAAACTACCTCGCACGTGCATTGTTTATGAACTAAAACAATTAGACTGATTTTCGCTTTCTGCGTTTCCGCTTTCCTACGTTTACCTTCATAATACTGTTGTGTTGTTGGTCGGCTTGTGCTTACGTTTGTCTCCTTTTCTATCTGACCAGGTTGTTGTCGGAACTCTTATATCATATGGTGCGAAAATCAGTTTAAATTATGGTACACAAATCATAGGAGATATACCAAAGGGGTATGTAATATGCCTAACGGTACGCCAGACACACGTAACGGCGTCTATTTGTCTGTGGACATATAGCAGGAGCAGTTTCCTTTGTGTGACACACACACACATTTAGGTTGTAACTTACTATAGCGTTAACTCAAAGTCTGAGATCATTTATTTAGATTTTAGTAGCTCTGTGTCCGCGAGGAAAAGTTCATAATTGTCTTTTAATAAACCACGTTTCTTTATGCAAACGTTTGTCCCAAGTTTATATCGAATTGCCAAGAAGAAATTTTCTCTTCATCAGCTCCCTAGCTCACCAGTTTTGTTTAATTATCTCTTAGTGTCTTTCTTCTCTCTGTGTTTTCTCTTTGTAGCGAAGTTGACGATGTCGTTTGATTCGGTTTCAGGCTTCCTCCTTTGAGTGTACCATCTTTATCCCGGATTTCGAACATTTTCTCAGACGCCTTTGTCATAGCAGTGGTGATATTTGCCACAAACATTTCAATTTCCAAGATGTTTGCTAAGAAGCGTGGTTACTCAGTCGACCCGAACCAGGTTTGTTTATCAAGCTTTATACATAAAGTACAATTAAAACCGAAGAGGAATTCGTGGGATACGTAGTGGCGTCGTGGTTCGACGGAGTGGTTCGTGCACGGTGTTGGGTTCTTGGGAAGATACTTGTTTTTCACATTGCCTCCCACGCGCCTTGCCAGGAGTGTAAATGGGTGCTGGTAAACTGTCAGTGAAACGTGACGAAATAGGGAGGTACTCCCCCCTTCCCCCATGATGGACTTGCAACTTAAGATGATTAACTATAGTCTACAGAACAATTGATTTTAACTGGGGGGGAATACAAACATTCCTTATCATTCCATGCTGCTGAAACAGCTAGATTACGTTGGAATGATACCTGTAACTTGTAAGCTAACATAATCCTTATCCTACTCAACAACTAATTTGTCGTGGCTTTATTCTGTTGATGGAATGCCTTACCTCGACCTCAGTAACGAGGTAAACGTTAGCAAAAAAAGTTGCAGCGTAAAATATTCAGTTCATTTTTTCTGTAGAAGCGTCCTTAAACATAACTGCATTTCAACTTCCGGTATGGAACTGACTTCTCTGAGACGCGGGTGGCGACCGGAAAAAGGGAACATCCAGTTTAGTGTGCGTTGATCCTTATCAATCCAGCTGGGCTGGGAAGCTCTTGTTAAGCGAAACAGAGATCGATGTAATCATATTGCTGTTTTTCCTCCACTCTTCTCATTTCAGGAGCTGATTGCATATGGAGCAGGAAACCTGGCTGGCTCTTTTTTTTCGTGTTTCCCGATCTGCAACGCTTTAGCGCGTACAGCGGTACAGGAAAACCTTGCAAACACTCAGGTAAGCAAACTCCGCCAAATTTTACACATTATTTCTTGAACTTGAATGGCCACCTCTCGATAAGTGTAACAACGGTCGTGTTGCAAACTTGTGTCATTCCGTTTATCATACTAAATGTTTTAAGAAGTATAGAGTCAGTTTTTCTTCATATTGTACCGGTTTAGAGCTATCCTGAAAAGAAGTGTTCTGCGCAGGTGTAAAAGGATTCTCCACGGATTGATAAATTTCTTTTGTTTAATTATCTCACAGCTGTGCAGCGTGGTTGTGGTCGCCTTGGTCCTTATGGTTCTGCTGTTCATTGCTCCACTTTTCTTCCATCTCCCAAAGGTGAATTATACATTTAAAAAAATTATTGTTCTGACCCCAGCGTTTGCTTTGTCAGGCCTTAGACAGGACAAAGTCACTCTTTGTTATTATTACTTTTGAAGACATTGTGTTATGTTTGCTTTAATCCAGGCTATCCTAGCTGCAGTTGTGATCGCCAATCTCATTGGCCTACTCAAACAATTTTCAAGGCTACGGGCTTTGTGGGGAATTTACAAACCTGATGCGGTAAGAAACAGTGAAATAAGTAGAGACAGTTCTCTATTAATCCTTTACACCCTAACATCAGTATGCATATTCTCCATACTGTCCTCTGTGCATTTCCTAAGGTGCTGACAAGGAGAATTTGTGAAACAATCATGAGCATCTTTAGTTGGTGATCATTTCCTTTCTTCTCCTGACCATGATGTGTGATTTAGGGGCGTTTTTGTAAAGAGAAATTAGATGCTAGTCATTTTTACATTCAAAGGATTAACGAATTTGATCGCCATTTCAAGCCACGCAACTTCGATAACTCCATCACCATACCGAATTTCTGATTATTATCTTCCTTCCCCATCAGTGACGTAATAGTGAGCTAAAATAACCGCTGATATCGCTTTTCTGAGCCGCCGTATAATGAGGTCAAAATACGACATAAAACTATCTTTTCTAAGTGAAGTTGGGCCCAAAGACTGCAAAAAAACAAAAAAAAAACAAACAAAAAAAAACCGTTCGGACATTGATATTTGAGCTATAAGCTACAATTCAATTATTCATCCGAATCAATCCCACAAATAGTGAAACACTTTTTGCATGTGAATTTATTTAAGATTTTTCAAAAGGTGGTATAAAAGATTTATATTTTGTTTTGTTTTCAACTCTTACAGTTTGTATGGTTTTTCTCTTGCTTTGGTGTCATTCTGCTGGGAGTTGATAAAGGATTGGGTGTAGGAGTGATCTGCGCGTTATTTGCAGTCGTTCTCACCCTTTCCAGGTAAAAAATACTTTACCTTTGTAAATATAGAGGCAAGACCGATACAACGTAGACAAGTTTTAAGACGGAGCACTATATTTCGGCTGGCCAAACCACTAAGTATATGTAGTGGTCATTTGTTGGTCTGCAACGCAGCTTCATTGACAGCTCTAAGCCTGCTATTAGTCATGAATTCCTGTATAGATATGCTTAGAAATCTAGAACATTTTATATTCTATTTATAAATCAGTGGCAGAAGATCTAAGTTTAAGAACATTACTCTGCAGAGTACAAACAAATATACCCTTGGGGATATCCTAAACCAGTTGTGGGTTTTGATCCAGAAACTTTAAGTACTTCGAAATACATTGACCCTGTGGCAATTTTCGACCCTTTGTCCCTCATTCCTTCAGACTCTACATCCCCCCTCTGATTTGAACTGTTTTTTTCCTAAACATCTTCATTTTAGGTCCAGCTACACCATCCTTGGCAGAGTAACAGCAACTGAGTTATATCGTGACGTCAAACAATGTCCCACGGTACATTTATTGTTCAATTGTGAAAGTAATTTATCATAATTATTTTGTTCTCCTGATTGCTTTCTGTAGGGGAGCAGGGATGGCGCAGTGGTGAGAGCACTCGCTTCTCACCACTGTGGCCCGGGTTTGATTCCCGGACCTGGCGTTACATGTGGGTTGAGTTTGTTGTTGGTTCTCGTCCTTGCTCCGGTTTTCCTCCCTCCGCAAAAACCAGCATTCCAAATTCCAATTCGATCTGGAAACAGTGGACAAGAAGAGCCACCCAGTGGAATGTCCATTGCAAAATTATCTATTATTATTATTCATTTGTCGTAAGTTCGCGTTCCAAGGATATGAGTTATCAATGTTAAATTCAAGTTGATAAGCCAAAACTTGTGTGAAATGTTATATCCGACTTCGATCGCGTCACAGAACAATAACGTTTCCATGTGACATTTTTTAAAGGCCTTCGAGGTCCCTGGAGTGAAAGTACTGAGACTTGAGTCCCCACTTTACTTTGGTAACGCGGAGCGCTTCAGAAGCGCGCTGGTTAGTACCACTGGATTAGATCCCAGTGCTGAACAGAAAGCGGGAGAAGAGGTCAAACAGAAAAACGACGAGGAAAACAATGATCTTCTCCGGAATGAAGACAAAGGAAACAGTAACAGAGGGAACCCTGGTTCTGTAAGTTAGAATTAGTAACTTGGCTCTTACATTGTGTTCACAGCAGTAAGCCGAAAATGGCGTAATATCGATTGTTCAAGTATGGATGCGTTCCTCCTCCTTGTTCGTGGGGAACAATGGATCAATGGCAGCCAGTGTCTGAAAAACTGTGCACTTACCCCTCCCCTGACCCGACAACAGTTAACTAATAACAAGTTCGGGTTAATGCTGGCTTAGGCGAAGGGTTACTCGATCTCCGCCGCTCTCAGGTCCGGTCTTTTCCGGAGTAGCGCGGGCTCAGGTTCCCGAACAACGGCTGGTAACGGAGCCTAGGGAAGGGTAGGTGCGCTGCTGCTCAGATACTGAAATTGATCCAGAATAATAATGGAGCTGCGATAGACATCAATGCTCTTGTCATTGGTGGTTTCATTAGAATAGCATTAAGATCTTTATACCCTGCGAGTAAAGCCTTTTTAACCCGTCCTCGAATCGAAAAGCGAAAAAGGCTCTGCCCACTTCCTGTTGTTGCTCGTTTGAACATGCACGGCGGTTGCCTAGAAACTGATCCTTTTCCAGGCCCCCTTGAACTATTGTGGGCGCAGATTTGGTTATCTGTGTACATGAAAAACAAAGGCGTGCGCACCAAAACCGGTTTGACTGGAGGCAAAACCGGCTGAGTAGCTCGGAGTTTTGGGCTTTCGGCATTTCAAAGCGACAACAGGATGTCGGCAGAGCCTTTTCCCTTGGAGGGTTTAAAAGAAGATAAGAAGAAGAAAAGAAGAAAAGGCTCTGCTCGCAGGGTAAGATCTTTAGAGCTCAACAACTGGAACAATAACAGTGTCACCGCCAATGGTACAGTATAGATGCCACATCTCTGAGATCAAGAATGTTGACAAAACTTTTCTTAAACTTCTGTTTGCTCGTCTGTGATGCCGGCATAGCTCTAGGGTGATTACGTTTAGCACCAAAACCGTTAATTTCTCTCGAGGTTCTTCTTCTCATGAGGTCATGACAGGAAAATTAATTCGCAATTTGGTTTGAAGTAGTAACATGCCCGTAATCGTCTCGACTGCTGAAAAATGTAATCGTTGTCCAATTCCTAAATAGAAACCGAAACCTCAGGAAAAAGGAGGCACTTCAACAACAACTGCTGTTAAAGTTGATGAGCCGAAAAACCGTATTCACACTGTCGTCATTGATTGCAGCAGCTTTACCTACATCGATTCTGTTGGTCTTCATGTTCTTCCATCCGTAAGTACTTAGCATAGATTTAAGTTTACCCCATAAGTCTTTGCGGTACTCTTACAATTCGCACGTCATTTCTATATTTCCCTCTCCCGTTAACGCTCTGTTGGCAACGACTGGTCCCCCATCTGTTCCCTCTAAAAACTATGTGATCCCCTAAAATCCTCCACACACCGGCAATAAAATAATGACTGGCGCCTAATATAGGTTTTGATTGGCTATAATTTTACTTCGCTAACTGAGCAATCTTCAAAAGGGAATTAAAAGTACCCTGGGAGGGAATGCTTCGTGTCACCCTCTCATCCAATCAGATGCACAACTTCGTTCCCAGGCTCTCTCATATTCACGCCCCCTGGAGCGGAAAGATGAGAGACCCTGGGAACGAGGCCTGTCAGGTGCAAAACAAGAACTAGTGGCGATTTCGCCAACTGTTACTTGTTGACAATAAGATTCATCTTTGTTCTTATTGGCCTGTTTACTTCGGGTTTTGATTTACCCCGCTCAATCGAAAAATGCCCTAAAGTGACTCAATCAAAAAATGCATCAATACCTTATCAGGTGAATAAGTGTCAGTCAAATAAAACTCGGTGATTAACGCTAATCACCTCCCAGTATGGCAACAGCAGACCCGTTGGCTACTTTTGCAGACGCAAAGACGTGTTTATAGCACGTGTCAATTGTTTTCATACTATTCTTAATCACCTCCCAGTACGACGATAGCAGACTCGTTCGCAACTTTTGCAGACGCAAAGACGTGTTTATAGCACGTGTCAATTGTTTTCATACTATTCTTAATCACCTCCCAGTACGACGATAGCAGACTCGTTCGCAACTTTTGCAGACGCAAAGACGTGTCATAGCAAATGTCAATTGTTTTCATACTCTTCCTTAGTGCGTCGGCTGCACTTTCCTTTTTCTCCTGTTAATTGTACGATTACATTTTCTGTAAACCCCACCGGAGGGCAAGGCGGTGAAAAATTAGCCCACAGACTCATTCAACTCTTCTCCCCCACGGATATCTTCAACAAAAATCTCCTTCCACGATGAAAAATAAATAAAATCTTTTCCGTCCAGCGAAGGACGACCACCGGTGTCAGAATACCCTTCAATAACTACTTGGATATGCGCATAAAAAACTGCCTCAATAAAACGTCACTTTTTACGCCGGCCATGATCGCTATGACAACAGTGACTACTTTTGACCCTACCTGTATTCATCAGTTTTTTAACACTTATTCGAGAAATCTTACTTTATCCTCTAGCTTCTATCAGAGTTCAAGAAAGCTGGAATTCACATATACCTGGCTGGTTGTTCTTGTGAGTATTCCCTTTTTTAAGTTTTAAATCAGGGTTTGGGTGGAATTCACGATAAAAATATTTAAACCTATTAAGGGCTATGTCCAACTCTCTGGCCTAAGAGATTTCGTCTCTCCACAGCACTCCTCATTGAGAAGTTCACAAGCTCCTCTGGGGAGGCCTCCACACAGGCCATTCCACAACAAGCGATGTTTCCATCCATTCATGACGCTGTTGTATCTGCCATACGATCACGTGACCACGCGGTAAGTTCACAATCACCTGACGGCTAAACAAAAACTGATGTGCATGCCTTTGCCTTGACAACAAAGAGCAAGATACAAGAAGTGTTACCATGATTACTGTGGTGTTCCTGACTTTGGAAACTGTCACCTTTCGTTCTGATCTTCCAGAGTTTTTGCAATGTGTTTTCGTATATTTGGCCAGTTTTGCCGGTCTTTTTGACAGTTAAAATACAGGTATTAATATGGCTCATTGTTAATATGGATCATTGTTTTTGATTGATGACAACACACTGAGGCATATTGTGGCGAAATATGCGGGAGAGTGCATTCTAAGACACATACAGTACACAATTAACTCATTGTTATGCATAGTTACTTTACACATTGCAATAAGGGTAAACAGTCATCATGGTTACATACAGAGATAAATATGTCCTTATTTTGTTGTCCATGCAGATTTGGGGAGAAGACGTAGACAAGGAGACATGTTTTTAATGCTGATCCTGGCTGAGTTTTTTTTCTTTCTTTCTAAATGAGTGTCTCCCAAAAAAATAATTAAGGTTTACACACTGAAAAATTCAAATTTTTGGTGGATATTTCGGAATGGGAGGGAATCGCGCTCTTAGCCTCCCAATTTCCACATTACTTAACGAATAATTTTGGTTTTTTTTAAGGTCAGAGGGATTTTGTAGAAAGCGAAATTCACATACATACATACATATATATAATATTACGATTCATGGAGTGAATGTGTTCCAAAATATTCTAATTTTTCGATAAAATAATCATTTGTACTTAATTTGAAAAGTACATAAAGGGCTATCAGTGGCGGATCCAGAGCTTGAGCTGGAGGGGGGGGGAGAGGGCGTGTTTTCGTTTGTGTGTGTTTAGCTGCCGGCTTTTCTTCCCTCTGCGTTTAATTTTTTACCCAAAATAAGAGGGGGGGGGGTGCCCTAGAACCGTCACTGGCTATAGGAAAGTAGACAGTAATTTTAGTATTATATAAGGGTTAAAGAGAAGTAGCCAGGGATGGTGTGAAGTTTTCCCCAATCATATTTACTCTATTACTTTATTTTTTTACCTTAAATGAAAACGGTATCATTAAACTTAAACAATAAAAGAAAAGATGATACAGTCTTTGTAGTTAAAGTCCGTTTGTCCTCTCACGGAGCAGAGGCTCCTTAGTGAATATCCGCTGAATGCAATGAGTGTAGGCGAAAATTGAACGAGACGTGAACGATTTTGTTGACCCTTTGTTCGATTTGTGCCTGCACACATCGCGTTCAATGAAATTAGTGGAGCATGTCACCACCTGAAAGGAAATTAGGAAAAACAAAGGTGATTGATAGTATGGAAATAAAAATGTTGCCGGCTGGAAGATATTTGATCACGTGAGAATGAAATCCGCCCTCACCCAGAGACCGGTTCCCCGGCATTAATAAATCGGCATTTCACGTTTTAGGATATTTCGTCATTCCGCCGTTCCATTATTCCATTTAATAGGGTCACCCTGTAAACTGAAAGTGTCGTATTTCGCAACTTGCTCACTTCGCAAATTTAGCGGCCGTCTTGAGAATGTATTCAAACGGTTAAATGCGCTCTTTTCAAAGGAAAAAAAATTCGTCAAAGTTTCCATAATTACAGATCACACCCACTGCAATCTTTTCTGCAAGGAAAAGTTTTGATTCAAATTTCATAAGAAGCATCAGGATCATGGGTCAAAATTTTTAATTTGGACAGTAGTAGCTGATTTATTGAGTTTGGACATAAGTGGCCGATTTTAGATTTTGGACACTAGTTGTCGAATTTGGATTTTGGATGCTAGAGTCTAATTTTGCATTCTGGACACTAGTGTCCGACTTTTCATTTTTTGGACACTAGTGGCCGATTTTGCGTTTCGCGTTGCGTAAGAAAGGAAACAGGGATGGGTGGGAGGGGGGGGGGCTGTCGAGGACTTATTCTTTCTTCAAAAGAGAAAAGCCAACCAAAATCTCAGTTTAATTCGAAAAACTCGCGAACAGTTAATGGTCGGTCTTTCTGCCCTGAAGAGTTATGGAATGGATTAACCGTTATTATTAAAAACTGGATCATTGGATAATGCAATTCAAGACTTTTTATTGGCTTAGCCATTATGGTATATGAGCCAATATACCATAATCTACAAATATGACAAGCGTACGCGTCAGCTTAGAATTAAAAGGGAGCTAAAAAGTGAATAAAATTTAATTTAATTTAACGTTTTTAATAAAACAATTATTCCACTCGCGCTTGTTGGATATAAGATGATTATAGCCAACTCGGCGCTACGCACCTCGTTGGCTATCTATCATCTCATATCCAACGCGCACTCGTGGAATAATTGTTAATTATACAATCTCGAGAAAGGAGGTTTCTTCACACACTTTGATTCTGTCCGTCAACCCCACAACAAGTTCCTATTTCGAAAGGCGGAACATTGGCAGTTCTGATAGCTTGAGGATACTAAATAGGAAATCACCCAGAGTTTTCCCAATTGACAAAAATTACGGTCGATATTTTCGGGATTAAAAATGCTTGATATCTAAGGAGAAAGGTGAGAATGTGCTTACATAGTAATAGAGGCAAAAACCCTTGTCGCGCGCATGCCAGTGACGCCTCCTCTATCGGAAAACAGTTCAAGGTGATAACGCACGCGTGTGGAGTAGAGTAATCTATCTAGTGATCTTTTGGGACGCAAAAGTTTAGACAAGTCAGCGATAGATTTTTTGTTTACTGCTACACACAGTAGATGGCCGCTCCGAAGATTGACAGCTGTACAGTTTACGTTTCCTTCAGTTTCATGATCAGCTAATATGTTCCTTCGACTTCTTTGGCTCGAAGATGCTGTAAACTAACCAGTTAGGAACACTCGCCTTAAGTATACAGAAGACAAATGTGTGGAACGTAAAAATGCTGTGGGAACAAGTGAAATCGTGCAAGGATATTCGTGCAGAGAAAACAGGATGCGAGAGCTTACCTCACCGGCTCGCGATATTTCGTCAGCTGTTTAACCTGTCGATCATCAGCGAGTTGTTTTGAAACAAAATCTTTAAAATTTATGAAAAGTGAACTGAAAGTCACACATCAAGGACTATGAAGGATTTAGGAGAATCGGAATGTCCGCCGTTGATAACTCGTCAACGCCGAAGACGATACAGAATCAATTTGTCTCGACATGTTTACAATGAACAAGAATTCACTGAGTCGTTTATCAATCAAGAGGAATACACAGCGAGCTCTGAATTTGAACCCTCTTCCTTTGCAAAAACATTAAGGCGAAATTTCCTGCCATCTAGATGTACGTGTAAAGAAATCTTACAATCATGGTTTCCCATAGTGGAATGGCTACCAGCGTATAATGTTCGGCGTGACTTAGCGCACGATATAGCAGGAGGGATAACCGTGGCGATCATGCATATTCCTCAAGGTAAGAAGAGTAAACTGCAAACAGCATTAAATATCCTTAAAAAAGTAGCCAATTAGTAATAATTTTCAACAAATAATTGGTAAATTTTGGCGAGATTTCCACACAGGTTCGTACAGTTCTTGGATAAAGATATTTAACAACGGCGAAAGCAATAGATTACCCTCGGGACTACGGCTTTGTTCTAGAATTATGGGATTATATGGAAATCTCTGTTATATTTTTGGTCAGGAGACTATTAATCGCAACAACTGCTACGCCTACTGTCTCTACCTGCACCTGCGAAAGAATGAATGCACTCTTCCCCCCATGTTGTGACTATTGGGGATGACATACATATAACGATCTCTACTGCGAGGATCGTGCATCATACGTATCTACAACCGCAGTTCAAAATATATGAACTTCATATATTTCATTGTATCTGATTTATCATCACAGGTTTATTACGAATCAACTTAACGGCCTGCTCCCAGTTGGCTTGTTAGCTCAATTGGTAGAGCGCTGCACTAGTATCGCAGAGGTCAGTGGTTCGAATCCCGTACAGGCCTGATTTTTTTCAGGTCTGATTTTCGCTATTGCATAAATAGCGCTCTCTACTGCGAGGATCGTGCATCATACGTATCTAATACCGCAGTTCAAAATATATGAACTTCATATATTCATTGTAACCAAAA